ATATATATATATATATATATATATATATATTCTTATTATGTAAATCGACTTATAGTTAAACATTTACTCCACTATCTCTAGTCTCATTGTCTGTGGAAATTTTAAAACTCATGTGGATTTGAGCTTTATGTATATAATATGTATTGAGGCACGTTAAATATTTCAAAACGTTTTCTTACGAAAATCATTTTCTTGAAATTTGTATAAAGATAGTAAGAAAGATCTCGTGTCTATAGTTTATAAGCTATATCACTGGAAAAAATGGCGTAATTTTTTCATTGTATCCATTCTATCCATCCATTTATCTATCTTGCTGTATATACAAGTGAAATCCAAATAGCTGTAAGCCTAAAAGATTTTAATATCCAAATATATTTTTCGATTTCGTTTTTCACTTGATTTAACTTAATACATTCGAAGAACGACACACGAAATGATTTCTTCTCCCAGATACACAGTAAAACTGGCTTAGGAAGTGGCTATATCGATTATGCCAATTCGACCATTACATGTGGTATGTGCGAAGTAGATCATAAAAACAAATTCCCCATCAGTCCGAATGGAACTAAGCTACTTACAACGATGGGAAAATAACGTATTATACATGTGTGTGTGTGTGTGTATGTATACACTGGAAGAGACTTGAATATAAAAATTGATATCTATAACCATAAACACGGTTTAAACTATACAAACGGTGTCCTAAATTTGGACAAGCTTATGATATAATGTTTACTTTAACGGGGAGGGGGTATATTAAATATATCTATATAGCACTCATACTGGAAACTTCCCGAAAAGAGTAAACGACTTTATATAAACATGTACTAAACGACTGATAACTTATACTCATATATTACGAATGTGTACAATTGTACTACTTCGTGGGGGTAGGAGATAGGGATTACGGGGGTTTCACGTAAGTTACCAGTGGGTGTTAGAAAGGAGGGGTAGTTTTAGTGTATATATATATATATATGTACACACATGCACATCAAGATAAACTGGTTCACATTAATTAAACGAGTGGGTGGACATGCTTATAACACTTCCCTTTACATTACCCAATGCTTCATCATAAACGCGAAAGTAAATATGGACGTTATTTAAGATGGTTGAATTTCGTTTTGCTGACTACCCACTTTCTTTCGACAGCGTGTGTTTTTGTAATGCAAAGATACACAATGAGCTATCTGCGCTCTGTCCACCGTGGAAGGAGGATCGAACCCTGGAATTTAGCTTTGGAAGTTCGTAAACTTACCGTTGATCCACCGAAGGATGAAAGCGTATGTGAATATTACAATAAAAAGCTAATTTATATACGTCCTTGTTTTATGTGTTAAAGATTTTGAAACTGTTTTCCTATGCAGTATTAAGGAACACGTCTCATAAATTTTAACTACTCGCGTTATAATTAGGACTGAGTATTTTATTGGTAAAAAAAAAATAACTCACCACTCATATATGAAGTAGGATCCAATATTAATTAATAATACTAATCTTCAAATAACTATCACTAAGGATTAAAAAATACTTACATTTTTACTTTATACACTGCCAAGGTTCTGATAATTTTAGTCTTCCTGCTAGGCTATTCTCAAGTTTCTAAAACCTTAATCTGTTACTTAAAAGTAAGCCTGAGATCTTATAACGCTAAAAATCGGGTTTCAATTCCCGTGATGGGAACAGTACAGAAATTCCATGGTGTATGTAACTTTATGCTTAGCATAAAATAAATAAATAAAATAATTTAAAAACTGAATACAAATTATAAACGTAATTATAAGCAATAAGTGCCCATGAAAGGTTGTGATAAATTGTCAATAATTTTCAAATCATGGACTCTTCGGTTGATTTCCTGTTTCAAAGAGCCACCAGTTTTCCTAAACAGAGCAGTTCCACTCAACGTACACACTTTGGTATAACAGAGAGAATGATGTCTTCCCAGTGATAAAAAAACAGGGAAGAAACAAGCTTTTCCCATGTTAATCTGCTAGAATCCGGGTTTTGATACCCGTTGTGGGCAGAGCACAGACAGCCCATTGAGTGGCTTTGTGCTTAATTACAAACAAACAAAGCCATGTTAATCTAGAGATTTCACAGCAGAGTTGACATCACACATGGTTTAGAGACCAAAAGGAATAAATACTTCTTGCCTTTAAATTAGCCAAGTGTGTAATAACACTTTGCTGACCATTATAACATTTGAATTTGATCGTGATCACAATAGAGTTATACTCTAACTCAAATTCCTCATCACTCAGACCAAATTTTCTCTCTCTTTTGGCAATGAGATCATGGATTGAATAGGATGGTGCATTAGAAACTGGAATTATATTTTTCTGTTGTCCTTGGATGCCATTTTCTCTCAGCCGTATCTTCTTCAATCACTTCACCCAATTGAGCCACAGGCTTAAAGAACTGAATAAAATTGATATCAGCACAGACTCTCCTTGGACAATAAACAGAAACTGTCTGTCTCTTCCACAGCAACTTTGAGGTTTCCAAGATATGCAACAGACAAAGCAAACACACACGACTTATCAAGTGTGGATAGAATGAAATGCTGGAACTTGGTTACTTACTTGGAGTAGGAAGTGATGACATTACATGAAGAAATTGGCAAAACACTTCTATCTTCTTCACTTATACTATTAGTTTTATCATTATCACATTCAATGGAGATAATCTGTTTTGGAATGATTTATCTCCTACTGGAGTGGTAAAAGCTAAAAGAGTGAAAGCATGACTAGTTTTGTGTTAGACCTGATACTTTCTTTTAATTCTCTCCTTCACAGATAGAGGATATCTAAGACAAATAATTTAATAAATGTTTATCATTTAATTGAAAAGTAGTTGTACTCAATGGAACAACACTTGTATTTCAATTGAACTGTTTCACTTAATGAAATAGCATTTGCATTTAGCTTTAATTGTTTTATCATTTTCATGTTAAGTAATAAAACTTCAAGACAAAAGCTTTAATTTTTTAATGATCAAACATGCTTTTGTTTTGTTCAGTACAAAACACTTACTTCATGCAACAGGCATGGCCTAGTGATTAACATGTCAGGCTGCAGATCGAAGGATCCAGAATTTAAGATGTGATAATTTGAATCATACTCTGCACCTTCAGGTGTTAGCATATTATAAAAATCACAGTAAATTCCAGTGTTTTGTTCAAAGTGCTAGACAGTCCTTGTCATGGCAGGTACTACTGACTAGTTACATATTTTTGGTCAGTAGTCCAAAATTAGGGACATCTACTACTGAACTCTAGAGGTCGCTGAACTGGCTCACATGTGCATAAAGTACCATTCAGATTGAAATTCAAGTCCTAATTTACTGTTTAGAATCTGATATGGATACCAAATGTTTTTAAAACTCTTAACTTCATTTTCCAATAAAACACATTCTACTTCTCTCTCTGCATACCAACAGAATAATTTTAATAAGTTCACAGTACCATAGACAGCAAGCTAGTCAAAATAATTTTCTAGAATATCTGTGAAACAGTATCAATTTATAACATAGTTAAACTTCAGAACTTTATCAACCTATGTGGTAAAAAACGAACTTTCAAAAGAAGTAAGCATTGTCTACTCTAGTAAGCTACAATGTCAAAATGTGTATTTTCTTAGATTCCAAAAAATATACCTCTGTCACAAAACATTCAAAGTAAAAACAGTTAGAATGACAAAATAGGCTAAGTTCAAATTAATAAACTTTAAAAGGCATTCCAAATATTTATACAAAACTAATTTTCATAACCGTTTTGCCCCCTGCCAATAAGATAACATATTGAAAGTTGGAAGTCCATCTATAATTGCATGTCTTTCTACCTAATCTACAAGCTCAGCTGTGTTGTCAATTTCAAGTTCCAACCAAGTTAATTAATTAAATTCAAACACCATGACACATATCCCTTAATGGCATTGATAAAACTCTGGATTGTTATTAGAAACACTCTCTCTGCTATTGTGAGAGATGATGAACTGAATGTACAGCAAAGACTAACCAAAAATAACAAGGTTACAAGTGAAGTCAGAATATATTAAGAGACGTCATGACATAATCCCCAATGGTCCTTCCCAAGAATGAAGAAATAACAGGTTATCTTACTTAAGTAGTATGTACGTACACAGGAAATTATAAATCTATTTATTTATAAGTAAGAAAGTGAAGTCAAAGCTTGGTGTTTTTGGCTTGCTAAAACATTGTAGTCACCTTTTAGATTGAAATTTTAATAATTTTCGTGCAAATAAAAAGGGGAAAACGTTATGACCAGCTTTATATAGAAGATACAAGTAAATGGTAATGGTGGAACAAAGAGCACTGGATAATAAATGAAACCAGGAATCACGTTAACAAAACAAATGAAAATATAGCTAGATGATCTTCATTCAGGGCTACGATTCATCATCACATGGAAATCCAATACGAAAAGAAATATCAATGTACGCTTCGTTATCACGCAAACAATGATAAATTAACCACAAGAGAGCGAAAAGCAAACCTTTAAGTAACATTAAAAAGCAAATATCCACTTACAAAGACAACGAAACGAGAATTATTGGAGATTTGTTCCACTTCCAGCTGCCACATAACAGGAGTGGGAGTGTTCAGAATCACCACAAGAGGACCAACATGAATACTGTTTTTTATGCGAGGCTTAACTTTGAGAGACACACGTGGAAGGAAGTCAGAGGATGACGTAGTGTTAAAACCAGCACTTTCTAAACGAATCACATGAATTTCCTGAAATAATCAACAAAGTAGTTTATTATTTATATAAGTATTATACAACCAATTCTTTATTCAATACTTTTGTTACTATTCTGTAATACTTCTTGTCAGATTTTTTTTTTCATTTGAACTTTATGTCTCTCATACCTTAAGGCTATAAAACACGCTTTGTTAAATGTAGGACTCATTCATAACAAGTAACTGACACTTAAGTCAATAACGAAAAATTGAACTCTAATTTACGAAGTTGTATCACTTTTTACTTTCTTTACAACCAGAAACAAGTTGTCCGTACGAAACGTTTACGTTTTTACTTCAGTATCTGAAAACTGAGATATCTTAATATGTATATATTCCTTTAATATTCGGCAACATGATTAATAGTTCTTGTTCATGGGCACATTGTTTATAGCCGTTCATTTTCTGTTAGAAGAATCAACACGTGTATTCTTTTTGTTGAATATTCTTATTTACAAAGTACCTTTGAATTCCTAGTGATATCCTGGCTGGTGCACCCCGTCACGTGAGACGTTTTCTCTAACAGCGGAGTTACGTACTGCGACTGGAAGTGCCACGTTACCGTACATGACCGTGAGCTGTCAGCTTCTGGAAGAGAAATTGATTACAGTTTTATCGCAGTCTTTTTACAGAAACAGCTCATAACGTACGATACCTTTCTTACCAAAGCAGGAAGAGAGTGAAAACATATCTTAATCTAAGAGTGTAAGCACACTGTGGTTCGATAAAAAGAGTACCTTGTTTACACTGTAATTTGTTTCGGTGAGTTCGTTACAACGACAAGAGTTCAAGTAATAGACCTTTCGTAAACATACAGATACTCCATGTTGGCGTTCGAATTTTTTATAGTTTTAAGAAAACAGAACTAGGAACTTTTTTATCGTTTGAAAATCGAAAATATGTCTGCACGAAAATATATATGTTTGTACGAAACACGATATCAAGCGACTCAAGCGCAAGTGTTTGAAATACGGTAAATATTTGTTTGTTTGCTTTTTAATTAAGCACAAAGCTACACAAGGGCTATCTGTGCTCTGCCCACCACGGGTATCGAAACCCGGTTTCTAGCGTTGTAAGTCCGCAGACATACCGCTGTGCCACTGTGGGCTACAGTAAAAGTAATCTAGACGCTTAACATTACTCGAGTTCAATAATAATTTAGTGAAACAAATATGACATGTGGAACAAACTTAAAAACGAGCAAGAAAAAATAAAACTTTATAAGCTTACTGTTAGTGCCTGAAAATTATCTATTATGTAGTTTGTTTGTTTGTAATTAAGCACAAAGCTACATAATGGGCTGTCTGTGCTCTGCCCACCACGGATTCTAGCGTTGTAAGTCATCAGACATACCGCTGTGCCACTGGGGGCTTTATTATATAGTAAGCTACTTTTAAAAGCTTATCTACACGCTACATCAATAATAGACATTAAATACAATTTATAAAATTATACTTAATACATTCATCAAACTGCAAACTTACATTCAGTGCATCTACAAGTATACATCATCTACACGTCTACTCCATTATTAAAAGTCCATGTCACGGGGTTTGAACGTTTTTTGCACGTGTTTGTTTCAGGATTTTGGGGCAAAGCAACAAAGAGCGTTATATGCGCATAACAATCTATAAATTTAAGTTCATAGACTAGAGGAAAGGCAGCTAATGAGCAGAATGCATCACCAAGTCTTGTTTCACCAAGAGTGGAATTTGACCGCTGTGTATAACCCCCCCCCCCCAGACCCCAATATGCGGAGTGAGTTTTTGCGGCAACGGGTTAGCGAATCATGAATCCTTGAATTCACAATCTGATCAGCTAACCAGTAGCCTTGAAAGTGTTACTTGAAAAAAAGACAGGTTGGTCGTTGTTAAGCGCAAAGCTACACAATGGACTATCTGTGCTCTGCCCACCACAGGTATCGAAACCCGGTTTCCAACGTTGTAAGTCTGCAGACATACCGCTGTGCCACTGGAGGAGGGAGACAGTAGACACAATTCGTATTCAGATTTGGATATTGTTTGATTAGTTGTTTTGGTGATCGCCTCAAGATGAGTAAGAATTTACGTACTATCTATGAAGTCAGTCACGGTCATATCTTTATATATCTATTTTTACTGATTTCTGAACTTACCCCACAATTTTTTGACCAAATGACTTTAGCTTTTGCATGTGGTCGCTTGAATCCACGGGATAAAAACTACAATAAAATTTTGAAAGAGTCATGTGGGAAACCCAAAAATAAGGAATCGTGGTTTGACTGAACTAGGGTTAAACTCTTACATAAAATAGTTTGGTAGACTGTATAAAGTTATCCAACACAGAGATAAAATATCACTATCTTCGAGACAAACGTAGTTTGCAAATAGTAATATGACAAATGGCGGTCCTATAAAATTAGTTGGTCAACGGCTGCCACCCTTTAAAACAAAGCGAGAGGACAAAGTCCACTTCGAGTCTAACGGACAGGACCGACTTGCTTGAAATTTTAAAATTTTCAAACTAGATCCCGATACGCAGTAAAAGGGTTTTGTGGACTTCCCCAACATGCTTCAATGACTTACTTTCAAATTGGCTGTTTCTGCTTCATCGGGATTTAGGTCCTTGTTTAGACCTGGGATTGGCAAGAACATATGAATGATTGTTCAAAATAAGGCGCGCAAAAAGTCTTGCTTAGTTGTTGTTGCATCACGTGAATTTTAATGAGTAATTTATTAGCTGTGTGACAAAGCTAACTGCTGCTATAGTGGAACAGATGTTTTTGACGGACTGTTCCAATATGAGAAACTGAACAAAAAATAATGGCAATACCTCTTGGTTCACCCAGGGTTGAAAACCAGATACACTATCAGACAGCAGGTCTGTGTATTAGACAACAAAGACAAGATCAAAGAATATCACTCATAACTAGCATAATTAGCATTATGTGCACAATATTGCTGCTCGGAGTCATCAATCCACTAGCCATCGCCACAACAAGTTTGTTTGTTTGTTTTGAATTTCTCGCAAAGCTACACGAGGGCAATCTGCGCTAGTCGTCCCTAATTTAGTGTAAGACTAGAGGGAAGGCAGCTAGTCATCACCACACACCGCCAACTCTTGGGCTACTCTTTTACCAACGAAAAGTGGGATTGACCGTCACTTTATAACGCCCCGCGGCTGAAAGGGCGAGCATGTTTGGTGGGACGGAGATAGCGAGTCGAACTCCCTAACCACCTGGCCATGCCGAGCCACGCCACAACAAGAGGAGTGACTGTTAATCTCAAAACAGTATAAGGAACAACTTGTAGAGTTCTGGTTAAGGTCAACTAAATCTACTTGACCGCACAGCAGTTCATTCAAATGTTTATAAAAGTCAGTAAATAAATGGCAATAAGACCACTGATTCCTGTATTACGGACCGACGTGCAATGTCTGTCGCGGATGCAATCGAACCATACTTTTGTGTGATGATACAGGTTAATTCCCAGCATATATTCCAAGGATTGTGATGGCTTACCTTCAAAAAGAAAGAACAGAAGTATTTGATTAGCCAGCAAAGAAGCCCTGATCTAAGATACGCTGGGATATCTTTAGACATCGTGTATGAAAACGTCTTACCCCACCACATGTGTTCTACTGAATAAGGAAAGGGTCAATATGCTTCATATTCTAATTCGCCGATTCATTAGATATATTTTTATGCTATACTCATTTTTATCAATTCTGCAAATGTGACTCTTTCATACAAATCCATTTAATGAAGTCATAACTCTGACCACTTTGAATTTGAAGGTACTGTGTGTTCCATTGGCTGTAATTAATGGTATACTGTTCATAGTATTCAGAGAATAAATGATGCTCCTAAAATATACTTTTAATTTCAGTTGTGTTGTTCATCTCTTATGCGACAAGTTAAACTATAAACTCTTATCCCTTTCATTTTTTACTTTCTTATTTTTGACTGATGTAACTTACTTCTAAGATGATTATCACAATAAAAAACAGGCAGTCCTGCTATGTCCAATAGAAGGAGTGAAATTCCAATCACAGCACTAGAACTGAAATATAGCATGACAACTGCCTAGAAATAAAAGTTCTGGCTGGTTAAGGACACTCCATAAGAAAAACTGCGGCAAGACCCCATGTTTCAGAAGGAACCGTATTGAACACTCTGAAAAAAACACTTAATAATAAAAGTGGTCGAAGTATAAAACCAAAATAGATGTTTAGTATCTCAGGGTACCTTCTTTACCAGATAGGAGACAGTCGAGTACAGATCTTGTTGTAAATACATGTGTGAATTTTATCTGGAATGCACTAAGCTGCACATTAACAGGAAATGGACGTGTAGCTACTCAAAAGTCGCTGTTGAGAAAAGGTAACTAAACCATAAACCATATTGTTGACATAAGCATAGGACCACAAATAGTAGAATAAGCAAAGCTGGAGATGTGCCCTTTACAGATGAATCCAAGTTCGAGATGTTGAGCAACAAACCAATGGTAGTTTCTTTGACAGAGCAGAAAAGAAAGGTGGAACAGTCATTGCACATCTACAGTGAAGTATGGTGGTGGATCAGTACAAGTTTGAAGCCGCATTTCAACTAATGGTGTCGATATTCTACACAAAATTGATGGCACCCTAACCAATAATAAGTACAGGCGAACTCTGATTCATGATGCTATTTCTTCAAAAACACTGCTCATCTGGAATGAATTCATTTTTTAGTAAGACAATGATTCCAAGCAAACAGCAACTGTGGTGCAACAACATCTTGACAGTAAATAGGCCGATGGAACACTAACAACTATGGCTTGGTCTCCACAAATTCCCGATATGAACATTAGGATTCATCTTTTAGTAAGACAATGATTCCAAGCAAACAGCAACTGTGGTGCAACAACATCTTGACAGTATATAGACCGATAGAACACTAACAACTATGGCTTGGTCTCCACAAATTCCCGATATGAACATTCTTAACCACTATGGATTATGTAAAAATTGAGGAAGTCAAAGAACTTGGATGAACTGTGTAGAGTAATACATAACGTTTGGAACAATATTCCATAATCATGCAATGATAACCTGTATTACAGCATGAAAACAAAGTATAATTATCTGTATAAAGCAAAAGGCTCATATACAAAATACTAGTGTATTGTACAACTTAATCGCTTTTGTTTTGTATTTGCATTGATAATGTTTTGTATCATTAATCAATTCACCAGCTAGTGTCATGACTCGTTTTTTGTGATTCCTCTATGTGTATCGTTTGTGTGTTTCCATAAATATTTCCATTACTGTATACCCTCTAATATTACTTCAAAACTCTCATTACTAAGTCTACGATGGGAAAAACCACAACTTTACTGTCTTCATTTGTAAACGTAAAACGTATTAAGATGACCTTAAGTAATACTGATTTCACAAGTAATATGTATGTGTGTAAATCTTTATTCCCTCCTTTCAGTTTTCTTTTCATCAGACATACGCTATTCATCAATTCACCATGACAACAATACTTTTTTTGTCAATTCCAGCTAAGGCCCGATCCAGGTTTGAACCGGCCACAGAGGGACTTTTCAATGATCGGTTGCTTAGCT